CTGTATGTATTCCTGGAATGGATGAATAGGACTAGCTGTTCCTGGTGCAAATTAGCTGCTTCTACAAACGGACTTTTGAAAGGGATGGAAAGTTTACTGAGAATTGGCAGGTAATTTATGGTGCTGGAACAGGAGTCACTGGGAGCCAACCAGCGAGTCTGTGACTTGGGAAGTGTTAGCAGGTTAACCATCTTCCCCATGTAGGTATCTAGGCTAAAAAAAGTAAAACCCACGATCTAGAAGGATGAGTAAGCATTATATCACTGTTGGTTGTTCCTCAGCTCCCACACACAAACAGGTCTTAGCCTATGACAGCATACTGCTGAGACCTTGCTGTCGGATTGGCAAGTAGCAGCTTCGGTGTGAAGCCCTCCTGGAAATCCTTGATCCTTTTGGTTGACAACATCATTTTATCCCGCTGTCTTAGAAGATTTTTCACAAATCTCATTTATTATGTTGCTTTGAAATTGCCTGGATTTTTCTAGCCTTGAATTTTTGATCTCCCTTAAAAGCTTTCTTAGGTATTTGTGCCCTGTCCTGCTTTAGAGTGCAGCAAAATTCTTAGTCTGTTTATTCTCACACCACAACCTTGGGAGGAAAAGAAATGCAATTTACAGGGGAGATTACTAAGAAAAGAAGGTGACAAAGGGTGAAGTTTCTTAAAGTTAAATCTAACAGCTTGCTGCCGTCAGAAGCAGAAATCTCTGTCACTTCTGTTCCTTTCCTATGGCAGGAAAAGACGTTAAAAATGGGTCTTCTGAGCTGTTGACTGGTTGCCCTAATCTGGGACGCAGTCTTCTCCCTGTCAGTGGGTGAAATGCAGATGAAGAGTTTTGGAAACTGGGCCAAAGAAAGGTTTCCCCAGATACTTCAAAGTTGCCCTGATAATCATTATGTTTGCTTGCAGCAGTGCTTTGTTTAACAAAGCACGGCCTGATGGAGAGTTTTGAACTCTGTGTATCATACAACAGAAAGGAAAAATTCATTTGATTAGGAAGCTCTCCAATTTAATATTGGCTTAAAAAAAATTTCAGCATAGAAACCCACTAGGAATGTGACAGTTGTTTTTCATTGTCCGGTAGCATTTTATATATTTATTTATGGTTTGCGTGACTATCTTAAGCTCTACATATTGACAACACTTCCAGTCCGTAAGACATGACAATAACAGCTAACAACATGAACGTTGGAACTGCTGAGCTGCTTTCATCATTCACACGCAAATGATGGTATGCTCCACACCCTCAGACCACCCTCTCCCCTCTGTGATTTAGATGGAAGGAGGGGTGGGAGGGGGATGGAACTGGATAGATTGCTTTTTCCCCAGCAAGTCCTGTCAGCAAATCTAGGCTTTTTAATTAGCCCCCCCTTCCCCTAAAATGCACATTGAACATCTTTCCACAGTTTAATGTTTCAGAACTAAAAGAGTGACCGCAAAAGCCTGCAAGCACAGGGTAATGATTATAGCGAAGGTGCTGCAGGAAGTAGGAGGTGGTGCTGCTCTAAAGGAAAATGAAAAGCCGGAAGAAGTACAGCACTGCAAGGAGTGAATCCTTACGGCATCCTGAGCCATTAAAAAATACAGTTCTCTCAAAAGCTCGCTTAAAAAATACAGTTCTCTTAAAAGCTCATTTAAGAGCTTAAAAGCTCGTGTCAAAAATGATAATTGAGTGACAGATGCCCTGAAAAGCCAGATCTCCTGGTGTAGCGCTCTGTTCTTGGCCTTGCTTTTGAGCAGTAGACCAACAGGCTTCAAAGACTTTCCTGGACTCTGGATTAGGCCCATAGAAGGCTGGTAGAAGACATTTAACAAGGAGTGGTGTTTATTATACAAGGAGATCTGGGAGTCTATCTGCAAGACACTGTCACGATGCGTTTTAAAATGCCACTATTTACAATGGCTAATGCAGTGGTTATCTGTTATTAGAGAAATACAGGAATGTTGTTTTTTCAGAGGGGCCTTCATTTTTTATTCTTGTTTTAGTTAATAAATGGAAGTAAGTGTCCATGAAAAAGGAACGTATCCTCCTTTTTTCCATCTGAAATTCTTCTCTAACACCAATAGTATGGCAGTGTCTCATAGCCTGTCCGGGGTTATCTTTGTAATATAAATGGATGCATTTAGATAGTCTCCCCACTTTGCAGTTTCAGTAACAGAAGCCTGGAGAGGATGAAAGATTTTTTCAAGTGTCCCAGAGAAAGTCTGAGGAGTAGCCAGAAATTACCCCAAACTGCCATGTCCCTTTGCTTTCTTTCCTCTTCTGACCTAGTCATCTCTCCTTTCTTGTCTTGTCAGAGGGTAGCACAGAGATTTATACCCATCGATAACAACCCTTTTGTGCGTGAAGTTTTCCTGGTGGCATGTTTCATCAGGCCCTGAACAGAATAGGGAACATCCAGTGTAGAATTAGTTGCCTGAAGACTCAGGTCACCCTCTGTGGGTGCCAGATATAATTTTGGAAGCCCACTAGCAGAACAGCAGATTGCTTAGGAAGTTTCATGATAGTCGTGTCAGGTTTGGACCCCATTTTGGACAGATGCGGTTTATGGAACTGGAAAGTGAAATGTAGTATTTTGACGGCCCATACAACAGTCTTGTCTTGTGCTGGTCCATTACTCAAACTTGAAATACAAGTAGTATGTATTACTTGAGCACACAGGGAGTGTACCTCCTTAGCAAATGCGTACATACGAGTGAATACTTCTCATGTACATATGTTCATATACATATACGTAACACGGTGTGTTTGCACAGGGAGAAAGTCAACGTGTGCACAGCTCTGTCTGCGTGTACTTTCCCAGCGTGTATGAAAAGAGAAAGCAAACTCGCAATCAAATAGGCAGCGAGAGCAGAGGAAAAAAAGATGAGATTGCAGTTGATTATGAGCCTGGCAGCAGATGTGCTACACAAATCCAGCCCGCTGCATCCAGGCTGTTTCCATGGCAATGGAGCGAGTAATTGTGGAGCTCCGGCGCGCTCCCCCACGGCCCCCGCCAAGGTGGACGCGGGTGCCGGGTCCCTACAGGCGCTGCCTCGCTCCCTCCGGGCAAGCGCCGGCCCCTGGGAAAAAATGAGCAGGCGGAGAGGGGGAGACCCAGAGATGGG